ACATGCATACATCATATATACAATACACAGTCACTCATTGCTTAACGACATGTTCTAATGTCCTAAGAATGCATTGTTAGTCAATATCATCATCTTGTGAACATCACAGAGTGTATTTAGTCTGCTCCACATGTAGGCTGTGTGTGTGCGCGCTCCTAAGTAACAACACACTACAAGAGTAAACCAAACATAAGAAAAAGTGATACAATGAAGAGATATAATAACACGAGGTGCATGATATTGCTATTGGCATCACATGGCACACTGTATTACAGTAAACTTGATAATGAAGCTGAAGGATTCCCAACCCCTAGGGATGTTGTGGCTGGCATAAGTGGCAGTGCAATCAATGTCATGGGTTGTGCTGAAGCTGGTGCAAAGAAACCTATTGTGCAGCCAGTTGTATAACAGTATAGCACACAGTTATATATATAGTACATCCTGTAGGTGATGAGAAAAGGCTGCTACTAGTTTATGTATTTACTATGCTATACTTTTTTTCTTTATTTTAGAGTGTACTCCTAATTATTTTTTTTTTTAAAAATTTACTTTTATTGATTCTTGATCTTACTTCTTGTGCTTTATAAGTCCTGTTAAGGAAGTCAGTTCCTAAGCTGAAGTGGTGAAGATTTGGGCCTGCTTTTTCTTCTATTAAGCACAGGGTCTTTGGTCTACATTGAGTTAAATTTTGTGCAGGGTGAGAGAGAGGGGTTTAAATTCATTTTGCTACATATGGGTTTCCAGTATTCCCAGAACCATTTATTGAAGAGGCTATCTTTTTTCCAATGAACACTTGGGGCACCCTTGTCCAGATAACTGCATTTATGTGTGTTTGTCTCTGTGTCTTCTATTCTGTAACACTGCTCTATGTGTTGGTTTTGGTGCCAACACCATGCCATGTTTCTTACTGTGACTCTGTAGTATAGTTTAATTTCTGGTATTGTGATGCCTCCTGCTTTCTTCTTCTTGCTAAGGATTGCTTTGGTTATTCAGGGTCACTTATTTTTTCAAATGAGTTTCATAATTGTTTTTTCTAGTTCACTGGGATTTTAATAGGAATTGCATTAAATCTGTATAATTCTTTGAGTTGTATGGTCATTTTGATGATATTCTGCCTATCCAAAGTATCCAGTATCTTCTGAGGTTTTCCTTAATTCTTTCTTTAGAGTTCTGTAGTTTTCATTGTAGGGGTCTTTCACCTCTTTAGTTACATTGATTCCCAAGGTTTTGTCTGTTTTTTGTTTTTGAGGCTATTGTGAATGGGGCAGTTTCCCTAATTTCTCTTTTAGTGGACTTATCACTGGTGTATTAGAATGCATTGATTTATGGGTGTTGATTTTATATCCTACTACTTTGCTGAATTCATTTATTTAGCTAGAATAATTATTGTACAGTTGTCTGAATTCTTTTAGACTATTCTCTTAGACTTATCAGATTCTCCAAAGAAGACTCTCAAAAATATTCTACCTAGATGCATGACACCTGTTTTCTGAAGCACCCCAGGTCAAACCCTCTCATTCTCCCAGGTACCTTCCCACCTGCCCACCACCATGTCTCTCATTCTCCCAGATACCTTCCCACTTGCCCACCACGATTGTTAATATGGAGGTTGCAAAAAATAAAGTCAACTTACTTTCCCTCCCCTGTTGGCCGAGTAAGAAGCAATGGAGGTCAGCAGGCTATAGGGTTATGGGGAGAGCAACAGACCAGGATCATCTGTAATCACACATATTCTCCAGTCTACGGAGTAATAGGGGTTGAGGGAGAGGGTATTGAGCCTTGCAGGGCTTCAGAGAGCAAGGAGGATCTGTGGGTCATGAGAGGATCCCTGAATTCTCTTTTAGTCTGAGCAAATGCCCACTTTTCCAACCTACAGTGTTTTAAAATTTTGATTCTGGTTCAGTGCAGTAAAAAGAGAATCTATATTAAATATAATATAGAATCTATTTTAAATATAAATGTAATTATTACATTATATTACATTATACATGGTATATCCTATGATTACTGAGGCTTCCTGGCACTCTTAACCATGCCAAGAATTAAAGTTGTCAGAACTGTCTTCGAAAATCCTCATGGACCCATGATTTTACTAGCTATGGGGGAAGGGGTTCCCATATCATTATATGTTATGTTGCAGCCTTTCAGTTATTCAAAATGATATGCAATATGGTAAATCACATCATATTCTTTTAGAGGCAAAAATATATAGTACAGCATCAATCTGTGACTGCATTAGACAACTTGTGAGTGGAAACGATTCCTGCTGTATGTAACCAATACCCAGATTCATTGCAGGTGTCACACCTAATTCTTTCAACATTATTTCTATGCTCATTCAGCATTGTTTCTCTCTCACTGCACCCTAAGAGGAAGCATCTCTTGCAGTATTTGAAGCTTTTTTATTGCCACAGTGCAACTTGGACTTGAAATAACTAGTAAATATTAAGTATCTGAAATATGATGAAGGGCCATGAGATGAAAGAAAAACATGTGAAACATGGATAAGAGCTACTATAGTTTGAGAGACTATACTGAAAAACAGCCACCCAGAGGAGAAGAGAAAAAATAAAATGGAACGGAAGAATATATAGTAAAAATGTAACTATCACTAGTGATGATGGCTTGAGGGTATAGACAAAAATGCTTTGTGAAATGAGTTTTGTTTCTTTGTTTCACCAATAAAATTCTCTACAGCACTTAGCCACAACTAACAACATCAAGAGGGGTATTGAGAAAACTAAATTAGGATAATAAAACCCAGTGATATCATGACTCTTTGAAAAATCTATAGCTCTTTAATTCCATCCAATCACTAATTTGAGTCCAAAAGTCAAAAGTACTTCAGAATACCTGCTGATTTCAAATGTGGCTCTTAGTCCTTTGGGCTCCCCAGAGCTAAAGGTAAATACCTCTCTACAGATTTCTAGGTGAGAGTGGTAAACAGGAGTATGAATGCATTTGTACTGTTGATTCTGAACCCAATTAATCAGAAGAAAGTATGTAAATGTATAAACGAGAGAACTTGAGTTCTTGAAATGTTAAATAATAAAATCATGTTCATGTTTTATATTGTTAGATACTTTTAGGATATTACACATTATTGATACAGTTAGACTTGAATCTGGGCAAAATATTAAAGTATTTTCATCTGCTAAAATTTCTTCCCCAACTACTAAAAAAAACTATTGCAAAAGCCAGATTTTTATGAAAAAATAAATAAATCATAAATTCATAAATAAAGGAAATCTTTCAAGAAAAGAGGGATATATAAAAATCATTAAACTGATAGACATAAGTGCCACATTGATTCAATTACTTATTTCCTACAAGTTTCTGTGTTTTTAAATTGTGTGACTGGCCACCATAAAAGCCTTTGTTATTAATATCACAAATATTAAAACACCTATGATTTATTAAGAAAACCAAAACTGGTAAGAAATGTGTAAGAAAATGGACAATGTGTAAGAATAAGCAATATTGAAAAGGTGAATTAAAATGGTAAGGAAACATAAAAAGATGCTCTATGTCACCAGGAGTCAAATACCAACATGTTTTAGTCTTACTAATCAGAATGGCAAAAAATTAAAATGATCAGCTATATTCAATGCTGGGAAGAGTAAAGGAAAACAATCATCTGTGGTTTATAGTCTTGGAGGCAAAAGTTCTAGTCAAACTCATGAATAGAGGAACTGTATCTCTGCCTTAACAAGCAAGATCATTAAGTATCTATACAAGATAAATAAAATCATAATGGTTTTATACTAATATTTACTCTAAGATCATTTATAAGAGCAATATTCAGTAAATAATTTTAAAATTCCAAAATAAGGAACTGTTAAAATTATGGTTTATTCAGAGTATGGAATAATATACAGCTATCTGAAAGACTGTTATGTCATAATAAATTGATTTTAAAAACTATTCATGGTATATTTTAAGTGAAAAAGATAATAAGTATTATTAGTTTTTTAATCTTTATTTATTTATTTTATGTGATGCAGGGAATCGAACCCAGGGTCCTGCACTTACTAGGCAAGCGCTCTAAGGCTAAGCCACAACCCCATCCCTAGGTTATTATTTTTCTAAAGAAAAAAATACTCAAAATACCATGTATGCAAATATAGGTATAAAAGCAAAGTAAAAAGCACAAAACAAAAAAATACATTATGATGCAAAGATTGATGTAAATAACAAATGGAAGGAATGAAGACTAATCATGTTACTTCAAATGCATGCATAATACTCAACTAGTTCTTAGGATCAAGAAATGAAGCCATTTGAATTACAAAATGTAAACATGCTAAGTCTTCAGATATAGTTTTGGAATCTTCTAATCCGTAACATATGCTAAGGAGAGTCCCTTGTTTTAAGCTTGAAATTTTGTAATGATTTCTCAAGATGGCCCAATCTCAGAATTTCATTCTTTTGAAACAGAGTCATCAAATTTCTAGTAAAGGAAATTAAAAGAAGCAGTAGATAGTAGAACTTTTATACATACAAATGAGAAATCGGGGGGGGGGGGCTAGGATTTGGCTCAGTGGTAGAGTGCTAGCATGCATAAAAGCCTGGGTTCAATCTACAAAACCATTTAAAAAAATGAATGAAAACTTATATACTATGAACACATCATAACACCACTTTGGATCATAACCATGCTTTATGTTGAAATCAGATGTCACTTATGTGTGGGGTTCTAGATAAGAGATACTGAACTCCTCTACTAAAAACAGTGTTAAAATAGGATTCCAGTGTATCCCACTCACTGCTAGCAAATGCTTCTCCATGAGGAAAAAACAGAATGTGATCTAAATAAATATTCTCCAGTGAAAATATTGAATGATAAAAGTTTCTACCAACTAAACTGAAGCAATGACTATATTTCTTTTCTTTACACAGAAAATTTTAACTTTAAATTATGGTTAGAGATGTTAGACTTAGGCTAAGTAAAATGCACATAGAAAGTGGTAACCGTTGGCTTGAGAAATCTCTTTTCCTACCTTCACATTATCTGGATGGAGCCCCCCAGGGTGCTTGTCCATGTACTGACATAAATCAGTGTGCTAGAAGGAAAAAGGGAAAATGTATTAATATCCCTCTGGCTGTAACATGATGAATCAATATTTTTCTACTTCAAAGTCACCATTACCTTCTGAACAAAGCAAATACAAGACAAGTGGGTGAATTTTTTAGTGCATCCACTGTATGCTCCCCACCCCCATTTTTAACCACAATTGAATCATTATCTTTACCTCTAAGTTTTATGTTAAACATGTCTATAAATTAAAAGGAATATATGTCCATAATTTGTCAAGCATTTAATTTCCTCCTCATTAAATATATATCACTAAAATTTGACTAAAATAATAAAAATAAAAGCCAACTAATCAAATAATAATTTTAATTAACTCATATTCTCCAATTACAAATGTAGGTTTTTATTATTTATTTCATATAAGACAAAAACATTCTAAATCTATTACTCTAGTAAAATTTATCACTGTACTTATTTAAATTTTTCATGACTATATTCACAAAAAATAAAGTTTCCACATCTCCTAAATATATGTGAGCAAATAAACTCTATAAATTACAGAAATACATTTAAAATTATAAAGCAAAGATATTCAAATATATACTAACAAGAATATCCCCAGATAACATTTTATGGTGTTAATCTATTAAATATGGAAAGTTCAATTTGACAATAATTATATTTTTTCTTAATTCCTTTTCTGTTTATATTGTGAACTACACACAATTTTTGAAAAAAGTATGTAGAGTTGTTCTCTTATGGCTACTATAAATTGAAATATTTAATTATCCTGTAAAAGCCAATGGACAGGAGCATTTGTGTCTCATTATTAGGCTTGACTTACTGAGTCAATATGAGTTTTATAATATATTCAAGAACCTTGCTGTAGCCACCAAGACAATTAAAATTTTGTTACTGAGTTGTTATTGCATGCTCGATGGTAAGTGTTGAGGATACAGAGGATGCAGAGCAGAATTTGTTCTTCATTCATTTATCCTATTACTTCTTGAGCCCTTGCTATGTTCTAGGCATCACACTTAGTCACCATGACATGATGCAATAAAACAGATGTACAGGGGAAAAGAATAGACACACCAGGAAATAGTACAGTGAGCTACGTATTATGTTAAGAACAGTGCTGCATAATGTTCCATTTGGCTTTGCTCTACAATTGGTAAACTTCTTTCATCCTTTGCTGCTCATGTCTTACTTATATATAACTTCTTCTGGAGGCCTTTCTGAAATCTTTAGACTATATTACCGTCCCCCTGCTATATGTAAGGCAAAGCCAAATAAAGCAGGACAGAATAAGTGCTAGTAGAACACATTCTGACACATAACTACTGTCTATATGTAGGACCACATCCAAAGTTTATGTGTTGAAGGCTTGCTTGATCCCTGCTGGCAGTGCTATTGGGAGGTGATGGAAATTTTAAGAGGTGGGGCATACTGGGAGGGAGTAGCTCACTGGGGGCATGGCTTTGAAAGGTTTATTCTATCCCCAGTCTCTTCCTTCCTCTCTCTTTCTCTTTGCTTTCTGGCTGCCATAAGGTGAGCAGCTCTGTTCCACTATGTGCTTTCCACCATGATGTTCTGATTCACGGAAGGTCCAAGGTGACAGGGCCAAATGACCACGGACTAAACTGTGAGCCAAATTACACCTTTTCTTATTTAAATTGATCTTTTCAGGAATTGTGACAAATGATGGAAAGTTGATTAACACAAATGGGAAAACATTTCTGCTCCTCTAGACATGGGAATGATGTTCTTAGTATATTTCCAATGATATTAGCATAATGAATTGTAGTAGAGACCTTCTCCAGAAATTAGTTCTTTGGATCTTTGATAAAAAGTTTTGCAAACATTTTAAATTTTAAAACCCATATTTCTTTAGATCCAGGGTATGAAAATGTGGGTGTGTGTGTGTATACTTGTGCACACACATAACAGATATACACACATAGCTGTCACTAGCTGTGTAGCCCTGATCTACATAACCTCTGTATATAAGTACTATCTTCATCTGTGGAATGATAATAATCCTAGTACACCTACCCCATATGGTTTGGGGGGAAAGTCATGAGCAAATATCCATAATACTTTGAGAACTTTTCCTGATACTTGGTAGATACTATAGATGATGATGATGATTTTCTATGATGTGTTTAGGAGTAAAAACAGGGAGAAATATTTAAAAGGATAGAAATTTAATAAAACAAATGTTAAATCTATAGAGAGAGATCCCAGGACTGTACTTCACCTTGATGTGCAGTTTCTCCCACCTGCATGGCTAGACATCTCACTCACCCTTCTCAGCTCCTGCACTCCACTCAAAGCACATCTAGCAAACACAACAGGAACCTCAGATTGCTCTGGGTGATTAGGAGCAAGAATCCAAGAAATTTCAGATAGAAGAAGGGACAGGAAGCAGTACAAGGCCACACTTTGTACCCCAATTTCCCTGTGTCACAAATTTTTTCTTTACCTACATTAAAAACTGTCTCTTTCCGCTAATTTTTTATTGGTTCTTTTTAGTTATACATGACAGTAGAATCCATTTTGACATAATTATACAAGCATGGAATTATTCTAATTCTGACACCAGTGTCTTTACTTCCCTTTCCCCACCCCCCACTCCCTTCCCTCTATTGATCTTTCTGCCATTTACCATAGTTATTTTTTAAAATTAATTTCTAGTGGATGTACACGATGGTGAGATTCACTGTGTGTATTCATATGTGTACATATGCCCTCCTTCTTTTGAAATGCACAGTAGTCTATTTGGCTTTGCATTAGATGTGCCCAAATTATAACTTTCATTACATCT